TTCATCATGTTAGCCAGGATGGTCTCGATCTCCTGACCTCATGACCCGCCCGTCTCGGCCTCCCAATTCATACAAGTTTTGAAGTCAGCTTAACCAGTTCTACAGAAGTTCCTGTCGGGATTTGATTGGGATTGTATTAGACCTATCAATCAGGTTGGGGAAAAATGTATTTACTACCTTGTTTACTAGCTCATGAACATGGTATATCTCTTCATTTGTTAGGTCTTTCTTAATTACCCCCAGTAATATTTTATGGCTTTCTGTGGTGTGGTCTTGTATATCTTTTGTTGGATTTTTTTAAATCAAATAGGTTTTTGAGATTTTTTTCTCTTGGATCAACTGTATTGCAATTAAATTTTTTTTTTTTTTTTTGAGACGGTGTCTCGCTCTGTCGCCCAGGCTACAGTGCAGTGGCCAGATCTCAATTCACTGCAAGCTCCGCCTCCCGGGTTTACGCCATTCTCCTGCCTCAGCCTCCCAAGTAGCTGGAACTACAGGTGCCCACCACCTCGCCCGGCTAGTTTTTTGTGTTTTTTAGTAGAAACGGGGTTTCACCATGTTAGCCAGGATGGTCTCGATCTCCTGACTTTGTGAGCCGCCCGTCTCAGCCTCCCAAAGTGCTGGGATTACAGGCGTGAGCCACCGCGCCCAGCCTGCAATTAAATACAGTAAAACAAACTAAAGTATATGGTTTTAGTTTTTACAAATGTACATCCCAGTGTAATCAACGCCACAGTCAAGATATGGAGCATTTCTGCCGCCCCCAAGTCTGTGAGCCCTCAGCCCCTCCTTCTCCCCTGCCTATCCTGGTGGGTGAGTTTCACCTGCATTCGAATTTTTTATAAACGGAATCCTGTTCTGGCTTTGCATGTTTTGTGATTTGCCCACGTGGCTACACGTGTCAGTGGTTTGTTCCTTTCCATTGTTGAATGGTGACCCACCCGGCCTCCCTGCTGGTTTATGCCTTCTCACCTGTGCATGGGCCTCCGTCCTTTCCAGTTCTGCTGTCAAGAGTAAACCTGCTGTGACTCCCATAGACTTGTTTTTAATGGATGTGAATTTTTATTTCTCTTGAGTAAATGGGGGTGGAGTTATGGCTCATATGGGGAACCTTTAACTTTGAAAGAAGCCGCTAGTTTCCAAAGTGGTTCTAGCACTTGCGTTCCCACCACAGTGAGCGCGAGCTCCAAACACTGTGGCTTAGATTTGCTTTCCTGAGGCTCGATGATGAGCCTCTTCTCATGTGTGTTGCCATCCTTATACTTCTTTTGTGAAGTAATTTTTAAAATTTGCCTGTTTAGGCCAGGCGCAGTGGCTCACACCTGTAATCCCAGCACTTTGGGAGGCGGAGGCGGACGAATTACGAGGTCAGTAGTTCGAGACCACCCTGGCTAACACGATGAAACCCCGTCTCTACGTAAAATACAAAAATTAGCTGGGCGTGGTGGCGCACGCCTGTAATCCCAGTTACTCGGGAGGCTGAGGCAGGAGACTCGCTTGAACGTGGGAGGTGGAGGTTGCAGTGAGCCGAGATCA